TTTATTTAGTTATTTATTAATTTATTTATTTATTTATTTATTTATTTATTTATTTATTTATTTATTTATAAATTAATTTATTTATTTATTTATTTATTTATTAATTTTTTTATTTATTAATTTGTTTATTTATTTATTTATTTATCTATTTGTTTTTTTATTTATTTATTAATTAATTTATTTATTTATATATTTATTTTTTTGGTTTATTTATTTATTTATTTATTTCTACATTTATTTATTTATTTATTTATTTATTTATATATTTATTTATTAATGAATTTATTTATTTTTTATTTATTTATTGATGTACTTATTTATTTATTTATTTAGTTATTTATTTATTTATTTATTTATGTATTTATTTATTTATTTATTTATTTATTTATTTATTTATATGTTTATTTTAATTTATTTATTTATTTATTTCTTTATTGATTTTTTTTTTATTTATTTATTTATTCATTTATTTACTTATTTACTTATTTATTTATTCATTTATTTATTTATTATTAAGTACTTAAATAATTAATTAATTAATTTATTTATTTATTTCTTTATTTATTTATTTATTCATTTATTCATTATTTATTTATTTAGTTATTAAGTTATTTATTTATTTATTTTTTTTTTTAATTATTTATTGATTCATTTATTTATTTCTTTATTTAATTTTTATTTATTAAAAAATTAATAATTAATTTATCTATTCATTTATTTATTTGTTTAATTGAGAGGGAAAAGCCCACTTCAGAAGGATCAACCTTGCCCCTTCTCAAGTGGGCGGAAAACCTCTTCTTTTCGTATCAACAGATAACATAAAATCCTACATAAGCATATATACTTAAACTAATTCAGGAAACATTAATCTTTACTTAATCAGGATGATAAGACATTATAGAATAAATAGTTAAGGCTAGCACGGGAAGCATTAAACTCAAAAACGTTATAACATCTGTTACAAATTTTACACATGCTAGTAATTGGTTCGTTTGCACCATAGTTTGTGCGAGAAGTCGGGATCGCAAAGAAAGAGTGGGTTCACAAATTGACTCATCTTATATTAATGTTAAGCTGTTGCAAAAGTGGGCTACAGTCAATGTCTGAACCAGTGCTGTGCTCCTAAAATTTGAGCTAAGTAGTCGCAACTAATTGACCTAACGGCGCCGGTGGTGTAGTGGTAAGCGTGATTACCTCTCACCCCAGCAGGCCTGGGTTCAATCCCAGTCGGCGCCGCCGGGATGTTCTGAGGCATAACATCTCTGATAACGCCTTCCTTCGGATGGGAAGTAAAGCCGTTGGTCCCCGGTTCATGAGTTGATGGGTCGATAGGTAGGGTCCAGGTGTGGAAGCTGTCTTCCTGGCACGTCGGTAGCATTGGTGCTCAGCACGGAAAACAAGATCGACGGAAAAAAAACATCCAACCAAAGGAAAAAAAAACTAATTGACCTGCGCCCTTAAAATATAAATCTGCCTATAATAACGATGCACCCGCCCTTGACGTTGATGACGTTGTTTCAAACAGTGTATTTTCTAGTTAATATGGTACGTTGCAAAGCATTTGCTCTGTATTGCTGCTGCATGATGAGCAGCACCGTACTTAACTGGTGGCAAAGGTAACATTTACCACACAACAAAACCCGAGAGGCATTGTTCCTTGAGCATCATAAAGTCCCTTTATCCTTGTTTCTTCAAATTATTCTTAATTTCTAAAAGTTACGTCAACATTCTCCATCATTTTTGTTTTTTTATGTATCTAAAATCATACTTGACTTTCACCAACTTTCAAAAAAAACATTGAGTTTTTATAAATTTCTCAGAACTTCTAGTAAAACTATTTAACTTCCAATTTATAAGCATAAACAAAATAATTATATGGATGGTAAATAAACTTGGCTGGGTGAACCAAAGCGTTAGATAGATCAAACGACACCTCATACCACGGAACAGGAAGCATTTGATTCTACAGTCTACTCACTGATCATTGCGACAAACACGAGGGACACGTGGAATTTAATAATTATCACTTGACACTATTTTCAATACTACTTTCTGGGCTTTCAATTTAAATTGTTCTAGATCAAAATTGTAATCAAATTAATTTTTAAAAGCTCAAAAACGCTGCAGCTAAACAAAACCACGTCATTTTCGCAGCGCGGCCTACTGTAACCTTCAATTTTAACAATTTTCCAGAAGTTTCCGAAAATTCTCCAGGTGTTTAAGGTGCTTCCTTGCCGAGTGCTTATTCTCATCACGCTTCGCAATTTGAAGGACAATATTATATATATTAATATTCATGAGGTTGTAGATCTGTAACTTTCAGATATTTGCTTACTTAGTGTTAAATATTACAAATATAATTGTTTATCAATAGCTATAGACTTAATCATTCCATCCAGGATTCTTTCAACGTAAAAGCAAAAACATGAATTAATTAATGAATTTTAATTCCAAATAGAGGTGGTAGAGGCAGTGCTGTATTCTTAAAATTTAAGCTAAGAAGTAGCACCCATTTGACCTAAAATATAAATCTGCCTAAAATAATGATTCACCCGCCCCTGACTTTGATGACGTTGTTTCAAATAGTGTATTATCAGCGGTGCCGGTGGAGTAGTGGTAAGCGTGATTAGCTCTCACCCCAGCAGGCCTGGGTTCAATCCCAGTCGGCGCCGCCGGGATATTCTGAGGCATAAAATCTTTGATCACGCCTTCCTTCGGAAGGGAAGTAAAGCCGTTGGTCCTCGGTTCATGAGTTGATGGGTCGATAGGTAGGATCCAGGTGTGGGAGCTGCCTCTCTTGCGTCGGTAGCATTGGTGCTCAGCACGGAAAACAAGATCGACGGAAATCAAATCAAGAAAAAAAAAAGTGTATTATCTAGTTGATATGGTACATTGCAAAACATTTGCCTTTTATTGATCCTGCACGATGAGCAGCACCGTAAATCGCTCTAATGTTCCTTGAACATCTACAAAGTACCTTTATCCTTACTTCATGAATTTATGCTCAATTTGTTCCGTCGAGCGGTGACCAAGGCCTACGTTGCGTTTTAATGTTTTTCCGGATCCACGCACGTTTCAAAAACCAACCGAATTTTTAATTTCTTCCTTCTTCATGCAACGTGACGATCAAAACTGCGACTAACCACACTAAAAAGGTTGTGCTATGATCCAATTCGATTTTTCTACTGCTATACTATATTTTCTACTGCTACTCGCATCTGTCACCCGAGTAGCACACTTTCATTACAATAAGTTACAGCAACTTGTTTATGACTGAAATAAGTCGTATATAAGTTTCTACAATTGATTTGTGACAAGCGTGCTACTAGGGCAACTAACAGGGTTCGGCAACCTGATACCAACTTTATTACACCGTAAAAGCGTTGGGCACAACACAATTTTTAAAAGTTTCGTCAACATTTTCAAGCACCATCCTTTTTTTTTTTTTTTTCTCATATCTTCTCATACTTGAATTTCTTCAAATTTCAGGAAAAACATTGGAACATTTTTATAAATTTTCCTAAGCATTCGTTGGCAAAACCTCGGGCAAAACAAAGTTCCCATTTATTTAGTAAGTTACCAAATCAAACCCTTAAGTTATAAGAAGTATGGTGAACTTCAACAAACCTGAGCTGATTTTCTTTAAAATTCACAGATCTTGTATCAAAATCACTGAGCTTCCACAATTTTGGCGAAACTTCTACACAGCAAAAAAATAATTTTAATATCACATTAAGGTCAAGATTCTCTGTGTAATACAGGTGATCTAGCAATAACGGAGTAGCAACCGCGAGTATTTTCAAACTATGTCTGTACTATCCAAAGTGAGTCTGAACTTTCTGAAGTGGGTTCAAGTTTTTCTGCAGTAATTGAGTACTTTTCGAACTGATTCTGAGATGTTATCAAGTGTGTGTACTTTCTAAGATTTTGAATTGTTTTTAAAGATTCTGTGCTCCCCAAAGTGATTCCGATTTATCTGACGTGGCTGCATATTTTCAGAAGGAATTACAAACTTGCATGAAGTGATTCAGTTATCACAAAATTATGCAGTTATTGAGGAAGTAAGAAAACTCGAGAAAATTGATACTGTACTTTCCGAAGTTTTGTAGAGTGATTAAGTTAATTACAAAATTAATCAGTTCTTACGGAAGCGATTAAAAACTTTCTGAATTTAGTATTTTTCAAAGAGATTCAGACAGTCATTTCTTAAGTACTGAATCATTTTTGAAGTGATTCGGTGCATTCCTAACTGATTTAGTTATTTTCGAAGTGATTTTGTTCTTGCGGAAATGATTACAAACTTTCTGGGATAATTTAGTACTTTTTATTTGGTCTGGACGATGATTTAGCAAAAAATACATTTGCCACCGCTATACCTGCTAAAACATATAAGTACTAGAGTCAAATCTATATCATTTTCCAGGACGCTTTCAAGGACTGGCTGTGTTGGTGTTAGATTAGATTAGATTAGAAATCGGAGCAGGTCAAGACTGACCGATTTGTCATTTAGCGTGGAACTGGTTCACTTCTCCTATCTACATTCATATTATGTTATATAATCGAGAAATTGGTTCTTGATCAAAATGAAAACAATATCAAATAAGGTTATGTAACCGAATATCAAACTTAACTAAAACAATGGTCACTACGAGATCAATAAACAGTTCTACTATTTAAGAAATTATGTTTTTCTCTCATATAAAATATTACTGCTACAGGGCCTACCAAGAGAAAATCATTCATTCATTTGCTAGATTTTTTTAAATATTCACTTGCGAATGCACTTCACAACTCCCACATTGATTTTCTTATATTGGGACAGATTTCCAGCTAAAGGCAGTGTATAAGTAGCAACTAAAGCTTCACGCTCAACTTATACTTGTGTAAATGTTCTTTGTGCACATCTACAATTTTTAAGATCTAGCTATAACAGCCTTCAACAATTAAGTATGTTATCGTTCTTAAATCAATCACCTAGAGAAAAAGGAGCTTATACTCACAATTCCTGCAGCATCACGAGATTCTCCAAGCCAACAGGCACTGAACTTAATGCATTATCATCTAATTCTCTGCGGGTGTTGAACCGGAAATGAGAAGAATAACAATAACAAAACAAGTTTAGTTAGGAAGTCAAGGTGAGCAGGCAATCAAAAGAAGAAGAAAAATTATCATCCCCTCAACAGGAAGCTCCATGCCGAAGGTCGAGAAAACAAAGTTATAATCGCATTAGCTTGCTGGAAGCGTAACCGCACACTACCAGCAGCCAGCTTCGGAGCAATGTCGTTAAAGATCTAGGAATTCATACACTCAGTTTCATTCATGGCCACCGAAGCTTTATTCATCGGTTTGATCCAGGTGGTGGTGGAAGCTCTATCTCTCGAGCAATGAGGTTGGATTTTGGAGTTGATTTTGGATACCACTACCCGGAAAAATAGCGAAACTTTGCTTTCTCGATTGGTAAAGAGGAAAATTCGATACTTACAGAACTTTTAAACGAGTTAAATTTGTTAAAGCACCGGAAGTTATTTCACTTATTTGATTCCTCTTCACTAATCTGGAAGTAAAGAAAGAAAGGACTTTGTGGTTGACTTTCCTGCAGCTGATTGAGTTGTCAGCATGAAAGTGGAGCAATACTTACAAAATATGTAAACTTTCCAAAAGCGGAAAATCTCCTTCCCTTATTGTAGTTAATAAATTATTCCCTAAGTTTCTGTAAAGAGAAGGAAGAAAACAAATCAGTTGAAAGTTGGAATGCTTTATTTTTTTCGATTGAAACCGATCCAAATGGTGTCACACTATCGCCTTTCCGAAATTTATTCCAAAGACGCCAAATCTCATAACGATAATGCTTGCCACTAATATGAAACGTGTCGGTTTCATAATTCTCCATCCAAACAATCCAACCGAAAAACGTCGCTTTGCTGGCGGCTTGCCAAATCCGATACACATCCGCTGCGCTTCCGGAGGAAAAATTGGTGACACTCACGTTCCACATTTGTCATTCCGGATACTTTGCACCGAATGCAACAAAACACAAAGAAACAATTCCTGGTGTCCCACTTCGAACGAAGCATTATAATCATTCCGACACGAGCGAAGACAATTGAACCGTGATTGTTGCATAATGCATTCATTCAAGTGATAAAATACTTACAAAGCTTCTAGTGATCTCAATCCGATCAACGCTTCCGTTGGAATCCGTTGCAGCAGATTGCCTTCCAGTCTCAAACTCTTCAGATAGTTGAACCCACGAAAGGTTACGTTCTCCACTCCGGCAATCAGGTTGCTGTCCAACTGCCTGCATACATTCGAAACCAGAAGCAAACCAAAAAGGAAGCGGATTGAATTAAACCTGAATCAGTTGCGGTTTTCCACAAATCGACCCATTTGAGAGAGGGATAATTATGTGCGGTCTGTGGGAATCTACCGTACACTTACAGGGAGGAAATGGTGCGAACTTGATGCAGGGCTTCCGCCGGAATACGCACGAGGCCGCAATTTTGGAGCACCAATTTTTTCAGACTCGACAGTCCGAAGAATGCCTCACTGTCGATGTTTTCTATCCTGTTGTGGGAAAGAGTCCTGAAACGAAGAGAAATTAAATCGTCATTAGGATGATTGTTATGTGAAGCGAAAAGGTTGACAAATTTCATTGATTGTATAGTATCGCACTCCCTAGCTCGATAGTGAAAGTATCATCGAGCTAGGGAGGTTAGTTTCGGAAATTTGTATGGGAAAAGTGGCCGAAGCAGCCTGGTTTTGCATCGAGTTAGGGAGAGATTGAGTATGGGAAAGTTTACTGTATTAATATAAGTATAAGTAGACCTTCGCAATATTTAACAAAGCTGCAGAGTTTTGCTAAAGAATCCAATTTTCTATCTCTATTGGTTCACTTTAAATACTTAGGATGCTCCCTTAAAAATATGATTTTATAAATAATGTTTTATACATTGATTTCTCGATTTTTTATGTGAAATGCTTTAAGAGCATTTGAAAAAATAAAAATGCCCAAAGTCTATTTTTATTAATGCTGTAATTAAGTTTCTTTAAAAATATGGCAATTTTTTATTTTTTTTTGATCTATTAAATAAATAAGATTATCAAGTAAGGTTCCCAGGACTTTTTTTTTCAAAAATGGGTCCAAGTTTTTCACTCTTATAAATATATACGATCTATCAAATGGAACTAATTGCATGAAAATCTATTTTCAATCCAAGATTTGAAAAAAATATATTTTTGATCAATAATTTTATATAACTTTCCAACCAAAATAGATGCCTCAAACGATGTTTATGTTATCTACAAAATTCTTGAATAAATTATTTGCTAGCAATCAATGTGCAAGAATATTAATTAAAAATAAACTACACAGATAAAAATTCTGAATTTTAATAGTGATGTAAACATTCATTCACGTAAACTTGAATTTCATTTAACGCAACCGAGCAACTTGTAAACAATGTTGTAAACAACAATAGGCATTTGCATACAATATTTGCTACATTGCATGAAATGTCTCAGAACTTTACATGATATATAATGTAAACTTATATGATATGTGTCGTTCCATTTATGTGCATCATACTGAACAGAAACTTACACTACTTTTTCAAACTGTGTATTTGTTGTGTAACCGGATTTCAGCCATCGGCTGGTTCATCTCTGGCAACCCCAGAAGGGGGTGCCCCAAATAACAGAGTTGGGTGTTTGGGGCCCCAGAAGGGGTCTCCGGCTAGAAAGTGGGCCTCGGAAGGAGGTTTTCCTGATACAGTTTTTTTTCAGACTTCGGAGTTCAGGTTCAAACATTAGTACACATATAATAGCTGAGTAGTGTCACAGTTGCTGGCGTAGTTTAGGTAGAACTAATTGGTCGTAGTCGGTAGTCAGTGTCGATAGCGGGTTGTTGGTGGTCGTGTCAGTCCTTGGGCTTAAATACTTTCATAAAGATTGGCGTCTTTAAAGCAGCAGATGACTGCTGCTTCGGTTGATGGGTCATTTGATAGGGCGTTCCTTATGCTATTCGGTATACCGTATAGACTTCTTATATTGCTGAACACTGGGCAATCTACCAAAATGTGGTCCACTGTCATGGTAAGGTTGCAAGTGTCACAAGTTTTTCGGAAATTGGAGGAGCAGCCTATTTTGTGAGTTGCACGTGTGTGCTCGGAACGGAGACGAAACAAGATAATCTGGTCTTGTTGACTTGGAGTGTCTTGCCATTTGGAAGTCTCTCCTTTCTCCTTCCGAGTAAAATATAGCCTTGTGGAAGCCCACTCAAGGTTCCAGGCGTTGCGGATAATGAACCTGATCCATCGCTTAATGTCGGGACCAGGGACCTCTTTACTGAACAGTCTGCCAGAGCGGCCGGTACTCAACTTAGTGTTTTAAATGCACTTCCACAGTAATTAATTGAGAGCTTTCGATGTCAATACCAATGCATGAATTTGTATATTGTGTGGCAAGCACAATGATGCTCTATGCCCAGGGAAGTCGAGAAAATTTCCAACCCGAAAAGATTCCCTCGACCGGACTGTGAATCGAACCCGCTGCCTCCGGCTTGGTAATACCGTGCCTTTACTGACTAGGCTATGAGGCCAGCCGTTGGGTGAATGAGATCTCTCTCTCTCTCTCTCTCTCTCTCTCTCTTATTACTGATTTAACTCCCCCTCGAACTTATTCACCACTGCGTGTACACAGTTCGAAATAGTAGTGTAAATTTCTGTTCAATATGATGCACATAAATGGAGCGTCACATATCATATACGTTTACATTATATATCATGTAAAGTTCCGACACATTTCATGCAATGTAGCACATATTTTACACAAAGGCCCATCTTTGTAAACAACATTGTTTGCAAGTTGTTCGGTTGCGTGAAATGCAATACAAGTCTACGTGAATGAATGTTTACATCACAATTAAAATTCAGAATTTTTATCTGTGTAGAATTCGCAGTGACTCCTAAAGTCTCCCATACAGCCTGGCATATCACTCCGTATTGGCTACCCTATGTTGAAGGTAGACACGAAGGGTGGTTGTTTACAATTTCAGCCTTTCCTACCAGGTTCTTCTATCTCTGACTTGTCTACTGGATGGATGATCGGCAGAACTATTCCGTCAGTTCCCTGATGCACTTCGCTAATCCTCCGCATTCAACATCTCACGACACGGAGATAACGACAAATTCACCGACCTCAATTCTCACTGGTGGTTTCCATCGTTTGTTCCTGCCTTGAATCTGGCTCAAATACTCACGGTGCCATCGCTTTCAAAAGTCCACCAGTTTCTGCATCAACTGAAAACGATCGAGGCGATTCATCGGAACAGTTTCCAGATCTGAATCCGACAAAACTTGAAGATTTGATCCAGTGAGAAAATGGGACGGTGTCAACGGCTCCAAATCATTGGGATCGTCCGAAATTGGCGTCAAAGGCCGGGAATTCTGACAACCCTCAACGTGGACGAACAACGTTGAGAAATCTTCTGGAAATAGTGGCGTTTCTCTTACTACCTTCAGGAGATGGATTTTAGCAGACCGTACTGCGGCTTCCTACAGGCCTTTAAAATGTGCTGCGCTTGGCGGGTTGGATACTGTTTCTTGATGCACCTTGTTTCTAATTAATTCGTACAACTACCGCAGCTTGTTACGTATCCCAACAAAATTAGTACCGTTGTCGGAGTACAAATCCTGACATTTTACTCTTCTGGATGTGAATCATCGCAGCGCTTGAAGAAATCTGTCCGTGGAGAGGTCGGATACGCAGTTCGAGATGAACTGCCTTAGTGCAGAGATAGACAAACAAAGCGACGTACACCTTCACAACCGGACGTTGTGGTGCTGGTCGTACATAAAACAGTTCAAAATAATCCACACCGGTCTGCGAAAAGGGTCTCGACCAGGGGTTGAAACAGTTGACGTTTTTTACTACACTCGCTTCGTTGTCGTGCGCGACAGTCTGTTTGTATTCGAACACTCATGCTCTACCGTCGTCTCTCTCACGCAACACGAGCGGTAGAATAACATTCGAGCTAAAAGAAAATTATCAAAATAGCTATCATATGACATGTGTGATTTCGTTGTAATTCCTTAATTTGGTGTAAATCAAACCATTTCTGATCAGAAATATTATTACTAGCACATCATTACTTGCTATTTTAAGAATTCACACAAGCACAACATCGGCAGCTCTTATAATGAGAAAAACTAAAATACATACATTCGTGACGGTCTTCGGCGACAGTGTCATATGACAGAGCCTGTCGTATGACATTTGAGTTTGGTACTGTACTATGATAGCTTGTTTTGCAATTGTCGGAGGCAAAGGCAGTCAATTATCACAGAAAATGTGTCGACTACCGTGACCGCTTACAAGACTGGTCTCGACACAGTGGTACGTGATGCCGGTAACTCTCCCATGAATTAATCATTGTGCCAAGCTTCTGCATTCATGTTCCATCAGATGTCTCTGCTGTTGTTTGAGGTGACATCTATTGGAAACTACACACAATTTGTTTTCCGTCAATTGTTCACAGAGGACACTGCAGTGGAAAACATGTCTGGTACCTTCATATATGCATTTAGATTAATATTCGAAGTCCCTCCTTTTTTACACATTCTGCACACAAAATAGCTCACCCCTCACAGGATTTTCCGCCGATTTTTATGAATGTATAATGTATCTTTTGCGCAGAATATGTAGAAAGGAAGGACTTCAAATGTTAAAGTTAATGCATATATAGAGGTACCAGACCTGTTTTGCAGTGTCAGGTACTCTATTGTTTTCCTTTGGTTTGTTTTTTCCGTCGATCTTGTTTTCCGTGCTGAGCACCAATGCTACCGACGTGCCAGGAAGGCAGCTCCCACACCTGGACCCTACCTATCGACCCATCAACTCATGAACCGGGGACCAACGGCTTTACTTCCCATCCGAAGGAAGGCGTGATCAGAGATGTTATGCCTCAGAACATCCTGGCGGCGCCGACTGGGATTGAACCCAGGCCTGCTAGGGTGAGAGCTAATCACGCTTACCACTACACCACCGGCGCCGTTATCGTCAGGTATTCTATTTTGTAATCCGTGAAAGGGAAATCACAAATCGAGTGTTATCAAAATACATGACATGTTGAGAGATTGAGGTCGTTAGAGCAAATTTTCTCTCTCAAATTTGATTTTTTTTTGGCTCTTTGGGGACGACTGGTTGTAAAGCAGATAAATCTGTACGGGGGAACATCATTTTTATTTGATTGTAGCTTATTTAACAATAATTTCCGGGAAAAAAACTGAACGATAATGTCCCTGACTAATTGTTTTAGGTTGTCGTTCAGTTTTTTTTTGTACTGAATATGCACCGAAAGCGAATTATTCCCACTTCTCTCAAATTCTATATGGGGATTTTTATCACTTCCTACCAGCTGAACAGCGCCATCTCTGTGCAAAATGGCAGGACGATATAATTAATTGGCAAATCAAAGTTGGCACTCGTGGAGAATAGAAGAACTATGAAAGTGATGATGGTTTCAAAATTTTCCACGGGGAAGTATACGAGTGCAATCTTAAAATGCTTTTATTTTGAAAATGGAG